ATATATATACTTTTATGTATAAAAGTAAAAAAAAAAAAAGACAAGAAGACATAATTTTTTATGGAATACATATTTTTCATTGAAACATATACTGAATATATATTAATATAAATACAACATATACCCACCTGGACAACTAACTTAATATTAGGTAACTGAATTTGTTAGGAAACGTTGGAAATCATTAACTCTTTTTTAGGTAACTGAATTTTAGGTATTAATGTAATTAAATCTTGATAATTAGGTAGAAATACAATTACTTGTTTATGAATGATATATTTGTGAAATTTTCAATTTCAAGTATGATAAGTGCAAATTTCCCAAGAATGAATATCCATGTGGATTAACGTTAATATATGGGCCGACATATCGAATGACATGGACCATTAATTTTAAAAATTAAAATAGAAGAATTTGGATACTCATTAACAAACAAAACAGGCTACCGTGCTTTATGAACGTTTTTCTTGAAATCCAGACACGAGTTGGAGGCCCAACAATCTTATTTTAAATCCCATGTCTGGATAGCTTCGATTGAAAAGTTTGTTTTGATTTAATAAAGGGAGTTACTATTTACCGTCCCCTTATTACTAGTTACCGTCCTCCTTGGACGATTTTGCCTTTCTCATTCGCACAATGTCTAGCAATTCAGATGTATTTTTTTTTTATGTCCGGCCGGAAAAGTAGCACGCGACCGGTGGTGTCCGACCGACCGGACCGGACGACTTAACAGGCGTCCGGCCGGTTCGACCGGACACCTATGGGCGTGCGGAAAAGCTGGCCGTACGGACCGGTCTTCGTACTATCAGACCGGCCGTACGGCCCACTTGGTGTCCGGCCACTGCGGCCGGTTGTTACCCGGTCCGGCCGGTCCGACCGACCCGACATCAATTTTTTTTATTTTTTTATTATTTTTAAATACTTTAAAATTATTAAATACATTGCATATGTCTTTAGAAGATTTTGGAGGAGATGGTATTGATTACCGTTCCGCTTTCAATACAACTACGCTGTTTATTAGTGATGAGGAGGCTATTAAGGATGCAAAAAGTACGGCAATTCTGAATGGTTTCTTTTTTACTATTTCGAAACACAAAAAACCCAGAAGGCTGAAGATCTTGAAGTGCCATCGAGACGAACGTTATAGAGGCAAAAACGTAGATATGAATAAAGTTGTTTCTAGACATTCAAAAACAAAAGCGTGCCAGTGCCCTTTTGAGATACAAGTAAAGCGTGTTGCCAGATCGACATACTGGATGATCCACACGAGTCAAGACGAAACGAAGGGATACCATAATCATTCATTTGCTGTGTATCCTGAGGGCCATCGACAGTCGAGTGGCATAAGCCAGTCATAAAAAAAAAATATTCGTGATATGACTGCTGCGCATGTGACACCAGCAAATATTTTGGCCGCCGTCTAGGAAAAAAATCCACACGACCATGCTAATCGACGACATATATATAACTATAGAGACTGGTTGCGTAAGGAAAGTCTTGAGGGTAGGGACGTTCCTACCCAACTTCTACATTTGGCTAGCAGCATCAAGTATATAGTTTATACAAATGTCGATCCGAATACAAATGCGCTGACACACATATTCATGGCTCATCCTGATTCAGTGAGTCTATTCCGGACATATTATTGGTTTGTCGGCATAGATTCGGCGTACAAAACCAACAGGTATTTTAAATTTACAGATATGTTATTAGTATTAATTTAAATTTGTATTTTGGATTAAATTTTATGTGATTATAATTTTTTTTCTTTTGGTCTCATTTGTACAGGTACAAGATGCCGTTGGTCGAGATGATTGGCATGACGCCGTGCAACAATAACTTTGTAATTGCGTATGCCCTCATGAAGGACGAGAAAGAGGCCATTTATGATTGGGTTCTCGACAAGTTGAGACTTCTCATAGGCTATGTTGACAACCGATTCGGTCCGGGCCGGATCGGATACTCAGCCCCTCCGGATCGAAACAAGAACCCGGTCTGATGAGAAAGTGCCGAGCTGGACCGCGGATTAGAGGGGCGGGAAACCGCCCTGGGAACAGATTCTCAGCCCGGCGCCCGACTCAGACCGGGGAGCTGCCGACCTGGATGGGTGCCGGACAGGAAGGAGACTATTCGTAGTCTCATGAGCATCTACGAACGAAGTGCCGCCCTGAAAGTATGAGGAGGCCGACCAGGGACGACGCGCGGGCCTCAATGAACATTAAAATATTCCCACTTGGGAGGTCATCGTTGGACGATGGGACAGGTAATCATGGCCTAGCCCCCTACCAGCCAACCTGAGTCAGCGAAGCCATTCAGCATTAAATGCCCCTCATGCTGGCATTTAATGCCCGTCAGGCAATGATTGAAGAAACCTCAAATCGCATTAAATATCCGTCAGACGGACGCCGAACTGCTCTGCCAAATTACTGTGCGACAAGACCAGTGAACAGTAGCTGAATAGTGCCACATTAAAGACTACTATAAATAGCAGCTCATCTCATTTATTTTGGGTTGTTGATCCCCAACTAACTCTGCTTCCTCTCTACTCTCTCTCTCTAGAAATTGTAAGAAACTTGTTGTAAGAACTGTAAGTATATCGCAAGTGCCGACCTCGAACGAGAGGCCAACCTCGTGATCGTTTAATAAAATCGTGATTAAACCGGACCATTCTCCCATTTTTAGTCTTACTTTCGACATTCTCTATTCTTAACCGTTGACCGAAAACGCTCGTCAACAGTTTGGCGCTAGAGGAAGGGCACCATAAGTTACTTGGTGTCAATTGTTCGACCTTG